AATCGATGCAAAACTCAATCTCTCAGTCGGGTGGGAAACTAGGCAACTCGTCAGGGAATACATTCGCGTACTCATCGACCACGAGGACCTTAACATTCTCCCTGGTGATGCCGGATTCACCCTCTAACGTGAAAAGAAAGGAGAAACAAGCTAAGTTCCGTCGTCCTCTAACACTATGCTTCAGTAGTCGTTCCTCTGTAATCAGGTTAACACCTCCATGATATGTTACTATCATGCTAGAACCGACAGTCAAGGTAACTCTCATACGGTGGCAATCAACAATCACCCCGTATTTTGACAACCAATCCATTCTAAGCACTACATCAAATAAATTCATGGGAAGGATAATTAAGTCTGGCATCAATTTCTCACTTCCAATTGTGATCACACACGACCTACATATGCTACTCACCTCCACACATCCTAGTGGAGAGTTTATAAACATTAGAGTCTCTAGGTCCTCGGGTTTCAAACCCAAAATTTTCACAAAAGAAGTGGAAATAAGCAAGTGCGTAGCACCAGTGTCGAATAAGAATCATGCGAAAGAGTGTGAGATAAGTATCATACCCTCAACAACTAGGTTTCCGGCATGGGCTCCAGAACTTCCTTCGGCCATGGTATGGATTTGTCCCTATGCTTTCCCTTTTCCTTTCTCGTTGTTGTGGGGTTTATGGTTTTCTGACCTATACTGTTGCTGTGGTGGAGTAGATTGTACTAATCCCGAGGCCTGTGGTCGAAAATAGTTGTAGTTCAGCGGACGAAAGGTCGGTGCAGGAGGAGTTGACATCTGGGCAGGCAACAGGGGCTGATCGAAGGGTGTGAACTGTGGGAGTAATCTTGACTAGGAATAACACCCCTTTGAGTCTACTGAGTTTGCTAGGTCTGCTAGCTCACCTATTGACTCCTATGAGGAAAGTTTCTTTTTATATGCCCTAACTCCCCACAATGGTGGCACTTGTAATCGTAGGGTCCATTCTTCCCACTTCCCGAAGAGTTGCTACTACCGCTAGGTATTCCCTCCACTACCTTGCCCCTGATCGCGACTTTTTCTGTTGTTTCTCTGGGGTCCTCCTGAAGTTCTCCTTGAGGTTTGCCTACTCTGGAGGAAAGCAAGGTGCTCTTGTTCAACGCAGATGGCCGCTGCAACCAAGTCACTGTAGACTCGATGCCTTAAGGCCACCACTGACTTCTGAATTACGCCTTTAAGGCCTCTTTGGAACTTGAGGCACTTCATGTGCTCAGACTCAATCAGGGAAGGAGCAAAGCGAGACAACTCGTTGACCTTAGTTTCGTACTCCCTTACTGACATGTCCCTTTGCTGTAGGCCCATAAATTCTATGGCCTTCTCATCTCGGTAGCTCTGAGGAAAGAACTGCTCATTAAAGTGCGCTTCAAATTGTTCCCAGGCCATCCCCTCGACATCATGCATTCGCCGAATCCGTTTTCACCAAGCACCAACCGGGCCTTCAAACTTAAATGCTGCGAATTCCACCCAGTATTCCTTCGGCACCCCCAGGGTACTCAAATATTTGGACACCGATTCAAACTAGTATTCGGCTTCCTGGGGTCCACTCACACTAGTAAAGGTGGGAATTGAGCTACGCCTAAACTCACAAAAGTAGCCCTATTTTCTGTCCTCCGCAGGACGTTCATTCTGGGCTCTTGTAGCCATTCCCTGGAAAGTGACGTACATCACTTCCATAAATTATTCGTTCGGCATTGCCGGCGGGTTAGCGTTCCTACGACGTGGCGACATTCTCTTAACTGAAAAGAAAACTACACCATTTTAGTGGACCGTACGGGTTTCGGGACCTACCCCCAAGGATACGATTCCCATATCCCGATCTCTGTGGCCACTATGCGTTTTATCATTTCTTAAAATATTTCATTTTAAGAAATGATACTCTTCAAAATCTCATTTCCAAAATAATTGGAAACTCAATAGCATCATTCATGCTATTTCCTTTAAAATCATTTTCTTTAAACACGTTTTGTTCTAAAACATTTTCATTGGCCAAAATCATTTAAAGTAAGGCTAACAATGATATGGACAAGAATATCCTACCTCTCAGATATCAAATATGTGGCTATCTTCGCGTAGCCCTAGCTCCATTTGCCTTTGAAGCTCCAATTCCAATCGTGCCACTAATTTTGTCATCAAAATCAATGATTTAGAGTTTAATCTTTTTCCCACTGAACATTCTTGTTTAATTATATACAATTGTATCATATTAGTGTGCCTTAACTTAAAATCAGGTTTATAAACAATTCTTAATTTAAATCATGATTCTTTAGGAATTGAGATTCGTTCTGAAAATTGAACAGGAACAAGGATTAATGTGTCTAATCCACTCATTTTGAGTTCTCAAATGAAGTTAGGTCGGTTCTACATCAAGTTTCGAGGTCAAAACATGGTTTTTGAACTGTTTGGGGTCAGACTTAGTGTGAGCTGGTCGACTGGTGACAGAGGAGTGTATCTCCACTAGTCGGCCGATGAAGTGATGATCCGGTCGACCGGTGGGGAAAAACTCCAGGGCCAAAAATGGCTGATCCGCGGGAAACGAAGCCAAATCCTGTAATTTCGGGTTCGATTTCAACATATTCTCAAGAGACATTTGTAAATCGAGGTTCCAATCAACAAATGGGGTCCAAAGATTAAAAAACTCCTAAATTTCATCAAGATTTCATCAAAATCCATTCGAAATCCATTCAAAAACAAATTTAAATAAAAAATCACCAAACTCGACTAAAATGAGTTCCACAAGGCTAGAGCTAAAAATCTAAGTGAGTTTCAAAGAGTTTTATCTCGATCTAGGCTCCGATGTTGAACACTTCTTGGAAATCTCCATTTTTGGTTCAAATCCGGCCCAAAATCCGCTTGAAGAGAGAGAAGACTTTAAGAGAGAGGGTGAGAGAGATGAACGAGAGGGAAAGAAAGAGAGAGTGATGAACGAGAGAGAGAGAGAGAGAAAGAGAGAGAGAGAGAGAGAGAGAGAGAGAGAGAGAGAGCTCGGTGGGAGGGAAACCGAGAGAGAGAGAGATGAGATAGAGAGAGAGGGGAGAGTGAGAGGGTAACGAGAGGAGGAGAGAGAGAAAATAAGAAAAAAAAAGAAAATGGAGAAAAATAATAAGGAAAGACAAATAAAAGTAAAGGGGGTGGAAGCATGTATTTTCACACACTTCCGGGGTGAAATTATAAATCCTAAAAGTAAGTTTAAAAGTTCTTGATTAATTAAGAAAATCAAATTTAGGCAAACTAATAAACCACAATTATCTATTGTTTTTCAAATTAGTATTTTATTGAAAATTTATTTACACATACATTATTTTTTGTTTTCTATTGTTGGATTATGATTTTCAGCTTCTTTTATTATCTTTTCATACAAAAAAATTTTAGGGAAAAAAAGTTTTCTATCTTATTTCCGTTTGCTCATGGTTTTAGATTATATATTGCATTTTTTGTACTCGAGTTCTCATTTATGATTTAAATTCGAGTTTTCTCTATGTTTCTTTGGTTACATTTCACTTATTTTAGATTTTTGGCATTGCTACTTTTACTTTGTTTCTTGAATTTCACCTATTCAGTGTACTCTTTTTCCCCCTTTTCTTATTTCCTTTGCGGAGCAGGAGCTATTGGATTTTCCCTTGCTCTATCCGTTAATCATATAGTTTTGTCCTAAGTTTTTAATTCCTTCATTTGATTGCCTTTTCAATGCTTTGATTGAACTGGCTTATTCATTTCATTTAGCCAATTACCATAGTTTTTTTATCTAATTAATTTTGTTTCCATTTTTTGTCATCATATTTTTCATTTTTTAACTTTTAACCCCCACTTTTTTTAAAACCATTTTTTGGTTGTTTTCTTTCTTATTTAATTCACCTGATAGTTTTTAAACAATTATATATTTGACTCTAGTCATTTAATTTGTATCAAATATATATATTATAATCTATGTGACGTATATAATGTATTACTCATTTATGTGCTTTTGTGTAGTTGCGAGTAATGTCATTTATTTTAGCAAAACTAATTATATAGGCAACTACAAAAGTATTATCAATATATGTCACATATTATTGAGAATATTAGATATCTTGGACACAATTATAGTATAAAAATATTATCATATTTATCCTTTATTAGTTTTCTTTCTTTGTTTTTTTATTATTTTTTTGTTTATTGATTTATTTACTTATTTATTTATATTTTTTCAATTTTCTCAAATTTCTTTCTCTTCCTTTTCTAAAATTTATACAGCCAAATTTTGTTATAGAGGACTTTTAATTGTTCAGCTATGAAGGAGGAAGTCGCTATAGGACATGGAAATTCATACTTATTTCTTGAGTTGTATATGAATTTTGTTTATGTATTATTTTTATGTTATTCATTTATTTTTTATATAATTATGCTTAACATTGTAAATTTAAAATTTTAATCATTGTAGACATGTGATCATTGTAGACATTTTTATATTACTTTATTTTGAGTAAACTAGAGTTACAAATATGTTATATGATAGTTTTATTAAGTAAATTTGTTATTTACATATCATTATTTCGATTATATAAAATGTAAAGAACTTCTTATTAAAATATTATATAGATATATCTTAGTTTATATTAACCAATCTTATACTATAAAAGTTTCTGATATTTTATATAATTGAATAGTATTTTTCACTATAAAAATTATCAACTTTTTTTAAGATATAAAATTGCCTCTTATTGCAATGCGCACAAACGCGCGCGTATATACGGAAGAGAAAAAATTAAATAAAAACAAAAATAACCACTAATTTCAGGAACAAACCAAAGGGCATTAAAGTAAATTCACCAATCCCAAACCAAAGCAATTTCCCCCCGAGCTTCCTCCCATGTAATCCTCGCGGATTCAATCCCAACCGTCCATCTCAATCCAAGCAAATCCCCAATCTCGAAACCCTAGCTTTTAGAATAATATAAATTTTCAAATTTGCCGTTCAAACCCCCTATAACATTTACCAATTTCATAGAGAGAGAGAGAGCGAGCGAGCGAGCTTGAGCCTCTGGTTTTGGAATTGCTTTGATTAGGGTTTTGTTTCTGCAAATTCTCTCGAAGTTTCTGCGGATTCCGGTGACGGAGATGGAGAGGATGGCGGCGGCGGCGTACGCGACGACGTCGTTGGGGTTTGTGAGGTGGGACGAGGTCTTTGTTTCGAGCGATAAGGGGAGGAGAGAGGTCCATTATTACCTGAAGAGGAGAGACGGAAGCTCAGATCTGGCCGTGGTTGGCAAAGAGAGGAGCTTGAGGCACATGTCTTATCACTACGCCTTTCGCCATCGCTCGCCGGCGCTTCAATCGCTTGCCAAGCTCAAGTCTCGCCGAGAGGTCATTGATTGGCTCAATTCCGTTGTTTCAGGTTTGTAATTTCGCCTTTCTTTTGTTCTTTTGTTGTTTTTCATTAGCGTGAATGATAATTTTGTTTTTTCTTGTTTTCTTTTTTGTTTTCTGTGCCAGTTGAGGTATTCTTATTCTTCGAAATCGGGTTAATTGAAAGAAACTAAGGTTCTATAATCGCCCTATAATTCTTTTGGTTTGTGTTCCGTCAAAACAAAAGAATTGGTTTTGGGTTGTATTCTATTTTGTTACAATTCAGGAGGTTCTCAGATCCGTGTATTTGGGGAAGAAAATTTGTGGTGTTTTTTTTTTTTTTTTTTTTTTTTTTTTTTTTTTTTTTTTTTTGCTTTCTTCGTTCTCGTGAATGAAAAAAAAAAGGTTTTTTCCCCGTTTTCTTCTTTGTTTTTTGTGTCAATTGCGGTACTCTTCTTTGAAATCGTGATGATTGAAAGAAACTGTGGTTCTATAATCCTCCTATAATTCTTTTCGGCGGGGACTTTTTATTTCGTTTTTGTTTCACCTATTCGTTTAATTGTGGGGGCAAAAAAACTTTTTCGTTTGGTGTTTGGTGTGGAAATGTCCAGGGTTTTTTGGTTTTGGTTGGTATGTTTTTAATTTTGTCAGAACTCAGGAGTTTCTCAGATCTTTGTATCTGGGGAAGGAAAATCTTTTTTTTTTTTTAAACACATGCACAATTCGATTCTTAATGGTAATTTCTGTCTCTTGATGGACAACCCTCCTCTTCTCTTCATATCTTTATTGAAAATTTTCAGCCTTTTCTCTTCATATCTGTGTTTTCTTCCTAAAAAAGAACGGAACTTTATCTCATTCCTTTTCCTCTTGTCTCTTACAATTTTGATCTTCCGCTCTTTGATCTGTTTTCGTTCTCTGAGCTTGTAGATCTATATTGGTTTAAGCTTCTTTTCTGAATTCGTGCTTCTTTTCTTAATTTCCTCGCCATCGTCGCTGGCACTCTTGTATTATTGTGAAAACTTGAACGCCAAATTTGGTTGTTTGTCTTATCTTCCGTACTATTTCAAGTTTCTTATAAATAATTTCACGGGTGTTTCTTTTTGTCATGACGTGTTTCTTTTCTTTATCCTTGTGTCAATCTTTCAATTCTCTTCCTTGGCCCTTGGCAGTTCTTCATAGTACTGCTGGTTTTCCTGTTTTTGTGAACTGACTATGATCTGGGCTGCAGGATTCTTAATTAAATTGTAAAGAGCTGGTTGAGAGCATCGGAATCAATATACCCTCAAAAAATTCTAGGTCAAGATCTTTCGCGGCCAATTTATTGTGTGTTTTTTATAATGATCTCTTGCTTCTTGAATATTTGGAAATCCTAATGTGAGGATATATATCATGTTGTCCCTAATCTGGTGTTTTTGTTCCTCTGTCGTTTGATATTTATTTATTTTTATTGGTGTCTCTGGGGAATTTATCTTATGCCCCCGTTTAGTTCGCTGATTCGAGTTGAGATGTGACTTTATGTTAGAGCTTTTTACTGTAGCAAAAAAGTTAGATGTGACTGTTTTTGAGAGCTTTTTACTGTAGCAAAACTCGAATCGGTGAAATGAACGGGGTAAAACTACGAACTCAAATATGATGCAGTGTTATTCTATTTTGTGTTTTTGTGTGTGTGTGTGTGTGTGTTTTCTGTTTTAATATTAACATGTGCAACATAAGTTGATAATCTATTTTTAACTGTTCAGATGGATCAAAGGAAAAATCATCTCCTCTAAATGTGGGCATTTCAGAAGGTGAAGATGCATGCGAGATGGACATTGACTCCTTTAAGGTATCGTTTTTTGCGACCAAATTGCCAACTTTTTTTTTAAGGGGAAAAAGGGAAGAAAAGCTCATGGCCTATTGTCTCTCTTCCCTTCTAGAAGACATTCCTCATTGTCTTTTTTTTTTTCCTTAGGATTTGCAATCACGGAAGTTGGGCCGTTTCACTAAAGACTTTCAGTGGTTGGGTTCGCCATGGTCATGCAGGAAAAAGCGCAGACACTACCAGTCTTTCCAGCGTAATGGTGTTAAAATATATGTGAGTGCTATTATATAGTCTTTTAGATATTTCTGTTTCACATTTTGTTGTGTTTTTTGATCGTCTGACCCATTTATACTTTGTTGCCTTCCTATTGGATCCAGGTTCATGACTTTGTATATGTTCTAGCGGAGGAGGATAAACGCCTTGTTGCGTATTTGGAAGATATGTACGAGGACTCGAAGGGCAACAAGATGGTCGTGGTACGTTGGTATCACAAAATTGATGAGGTTGGTATTGTTTTGCCTCACAATTTTAATGACAGGGAGATTTTCTTTTCTCTTTGTCTTCAAGATCTCAGCATTGAGTGCATAGACGGATTGGCTACTGTCCTTAGTCGCCAGCATTTTGAGAAATTTCAAAAGGAGGCTAGACACACTCACTTGGAACCATTTTTTTGCCACAAGCAGTTTGAAAATGATGATGTCAAGCCTTTTGATGTTACTCAAGTTAAAGGTTATTGGAAACAGGACATACTCAGATACATGTACACACTTTCTCCTTTAAAGGACAGTGAGAATTCCGAACAATCTATTGATGACCTGATGGTTGAAGGTAACACCAATGCAATTGGTATCAGGCCTAGAAAGAGGCAATGCACTGAGAAGAGAGAAGTGGTTAGTGCATGTGGCAATGCACGTAATTTAAGTATCGGTAGATTTGATTTTAAGAGTGGAAATGAAACCTGCAGTCTGAGAGGAGCTTCAGATTCCACTCTGCCTAACAAAATAGCTCGGGAAAACTTGCCACAATACTTTGAAGTAGGTTCCCCTGTTGAGGTTCTCTCACAAGACAGTGGCATCAGAGGATGCTGGTTCAGAGCTTCAATTATCAAGAAGTACAAAGACAAGGTGAAGGTGCGATATGAAGACATCCAAGATGCTGCCGATGAGGCTAAGAAACTTGAGGTATGCATCTTTACATGTTTTTCTGTTGCTGTGATTTTTCCCATCAAGCTTGTACTAGAACCAATTCTTCATATGTAACTCACTAAATTGTGGATTGGTGTAGGAATGGATTTTATCTTCTAAGGTTGCTTCTCCTGATCTATTGGACCTCCGTATTTTTGGAAGAACAGTTGTTCGGCCATCACCACAGTCTAATAATAAAACCCGGGTTTCGTGGGCTATTGTCGTTGGAACTGTTGTTGATGTGTGGCGGCATGATGGGTGGTGGGAAGGCATTGTAGTTCAGAAGGAATCAGATGATAGAATTCATGTTTTTTTCCCAGGTGAGCAGCGATTTCTCTTTAAATATATTTATAGGAATGTCGTCAAGCGCTATCCCATTCATTTTCCTTTATTGGAGTATTATATTTTATTGCCTTACGTCACACTACCTTTTGCAGGTGAAAAGCAAGACTCTGTCTTCTGTCGCGGCGAATTGAGACATTCACAAGAGTGGGTGGACCGTGGGTGGACACAAATCAAGGAAAGGCTAGATCTTGTGCCTGCAGTCTTATCTGCCTTGGAAACAAATGAAGTCTCCGGGAAATCTTGTCATGGCAATTCGGCAGAAGTTACAAACTGTGCAGGGAAACCATTGAGAAAGGATGAAAGTGGATCAAAGGATTCTAGTGAGAACTCTGATAGTGACAAGGATGGAAAGGTTAAAGATCTTTTAAAGGATAATTTGCTTTCCCAATTGAAGTGGAAGTCGTCAAAGAAAAGAAGACGAGGAAGTGGCGGCTCTGTCCCCAAGGTGCATCACATTGATGCTGTCATGCATGGTGGTGCCCCTAATGGAATTGTCTCAGCTTCTCGTCCTCGTGAAAGATTTGTGATTTCCACGTCGCTAAAAGTTGATTGCGAGAACTGCAAATACATCGGTGATCCTCTCTTTAGCTCTTCTGTTGTGCCTCCTTTAACAAGTTTGGTTATGTCTAGGTGACTGACTGATTGTCAGTCCCAGGATGTGTTGTAGCTTTTGACTTCATCCCCTTTGTTCTTTCCCCTTAAATTTACACGTCGTTAACTTGCATCTCTTCAATGCAACGCCTGCTAGTCCTTGCAACTCACTCACAAAAAATGTTTATTTTCCAAGAGTTGCAGCCGAGTCTCCATTTATTTGTATGTATTTGTTTGACAGCCTAAAGTGGGCAATAGGGCCTTAAAATCTTTAGCCGAAATTTTGGGTGCAGTAGAATAGTCCCCCTTTTTAGAGTTTTTTTACCCTTTTTGTTCCCTTATTTTGTACCAGCATTTACATTAGGTAAAAAAAGATTTAACTTTTGCTCATGTGATTTGTACATTGTAATTTGTATCCCCAGTAATAAAAAAAGTTTACCACGTCAGTTTTGCATCCTCTTCAGCTGTTTCAGATTTCTGTGACGATCATGTTTCTTATTTAACATTAGGAGCTTTCTAGTATAAACTCTTGTCTAAACAGGGTATTATTTACGGGAACCTTTCTGCTAAAAACTGTTCTACCCTACGGTATGATTTGTGAGTATGTGTAATTTTAGGGTAGAGTATTGTATATTTTTGATATGCACATTTACAAATCAAACCATTGTAAAACCGATAGAACAAATTAAAGTAATAGTATTTGTCCTTTATAGGCCTTTCATTAATTAAAGATTCATTAATTAAAGAGAGAATTAGGGCGTAAGTTTTGATTTTTATTCTTTGTTTATAATTAATATAATTTTGATTAAAAAGATGTTAATAAAAATTACTGAGTAAAAAATTAGACTTGAGCACTCTAAAATGGTGTCTCTTTTTTCTTTAATTAATTAACGATTATGAAATGGAAGCTACTCGATAATCCAGGAAAGTCAAAAAGGAAACGGATCCCCACTACTAAAAGAAGTGGGATATATTTGTATTGGATTCTTTCCAAGCAACAACAGAGGACCAATACTTGGTGGTGCTAGTAGTATTTTTATTTTTATTTATTTTTTGTCGTGTTTGTCATTTTTGATTTGGGTATTTGTCAATTAGTTGATTAATTGATAATGATTACAAGTATAAAATATAAATAATCCCTATATGCCTTAAATAGGCCTGCCGTGTTAGTTTTGGTCTTTGTCCCAACTTGTAAGAAGCAGCCTCCAAAATATACGAGTTTAGGTTGGTATGATTGGCGATGTGTACGGTGTACAGAGTCTAGTCAAACCAAATTGTAGTTGTTTTCACATTAATTTTTTTAATGATGTTAGCTGATGAGTTGTATCCAAGGTGTGCACGTATTCTCCTTTGACTTGGCCTCTTGTTTCCGACTAACAACTCTATAACATTGTTGTACTACTACTTTCTAGAGTTGGTATATAGAAACGGATTCATATCACGTCTAATTTTGATATCTCAAATGTCGTTTATTAATCATAATCATTTAATTGATATAACTATTAAAACATGAACAAATTAGTTGAACATCATATAAATCTTTTAAATGATGCGAAATAATATGATTAATTAGATATTAGAACGATAAAATTAAATAGAATGTTTGAGTTTCACGATCTATATAGTAGGGTGCTACTATCTATAATGCTTATTTTCGTGAATATATAATGTCATATCAAAATCATGATTTGATGAAATCTGAAAATTTCTGAAATCACACTTTTGGTGTAGTATTTTTGTTCAACACCTCTAGAAAGTTGGAATTTTCATTTGTTTACAGATTGACATTGGGTGGACTTAGGAAACTTGTTTGAAATTTCAAGCTCACTAAAGTCAAGAGAGAGCCCCACCAGAAATTACTAATGGAGAAACTAAACGAATGTGCCGCTCCTCTTGTCTTGTGCTATGCTCATTCTACTACTCTTCGAGTTAACGAGAACTCTTACAGTAAGAGCTGTTGTTTTACCTTATTGGTAGGGGTTGTAATTTTATCCCTTAGATAGGGTTGTTCATAAACTCATAAAATTCGTAAGCTTAACCTACTCTACCCCAACTCAATTCGAAAAATACAATTTCTAGTATTAATTTTTTTTGGCGGCCCATTCAATGTTTGTCCCGAAATTTTGAGACGGAGTGTGAGTTGAACCTATACTAACATGTACATCCCAACCCAACATGTGCTCTAACTTGCATTCTCTAATATCTAACCCTAGACAAATAACTCATTTTTATTCTCTAGTTTTTTCATGTTTGAATTAAGCCTCTATGTTTGCTTTATGTTAAGACTAATTTATGAATGTAGACTAATTCATGTTTGCTTTATGTTTGATGTTGGATGGACTACTTTGCTTCATGTTTGATGTTGGATGGACTACGTTGCTTCATGTTTGATATTGGATTGAACTTTGAGTCTTTGATTCTTTGAATGTTGAAACCGACCACCCAACCCATTCCGCACCGCGCCAACTCAACCCAAACATCATTGGGTTGTGAAATTTTTCTAACATCATTGAGGCTAAATATGTGCAACCCGTACCCTTTAGGACATGAGAAGAAAAAATCCTACCCCACACCAACCCAATCCATGAACAACCTTATCCTTAGATTTGTCTTTTCAAAGTTTAAATCTGTTAATATTCACATTGTGATAGAATTACTCTTACATGAATATATATATATATATATCTATATATTTATATTAATAGTTGAAAAACCAATCTAAGAGTTGAATATCAGTTCCTATTATAAAAAAGTTATCTAAAATAAACTGAAAAAGTGATGATAAAAATCTTATAATACTTAAAAAATGGACACTTTCTCCGATAGGGAGGTCCTACCAGTAGAGTCAGATCCTGATTATAAAATATGATTAAAATCACATCAAACTGAAAAAATATGCATAACAGATAATTTTTTATACACAATTTAATAGTTGAAATTTATTTTTTAAGGTCCTATTAAAAAACTTCCAAAAAAGGCCCTTTTTTTTTGCTAGAAAAGTGAAAAATGACTTTATTTTCAGCCACATTAATATACATTAATATGGATCGGGTTAGTATAAGTGTACAGTCTTACCAAATCATCCCATTACTTTCCATTATAATAATCACTAATTTTTCTGGTTAAGATAATGACATGATAGATTAATTGAACTAAAGAAAGACCCTTGGATAAGAGAGGATTTATTAGTCTTGGAAGCAACCTCAACGGTATAATTAGAGAGAAGAAAATGACCAAGAGTTTTTGTGGGGGCTATGATGGCCTAAAACATATCATCACTGTGAAAGAAGAATCTTTTTCAACAAGGCAAAAGAAAAGGACCCTTTTCACTTTCCTCAAAACTGTCTTTGTTTGTCATGTGGTGGTATCTCTAAAGAAAAAAAAAAGGAAAAAAAAATTCCATTAAAAGAGATGGGATTGCTCTTTCACTACAGAAGGAGCTGTTCTTAGATCTTTTTCTGAGGTCTTCTTTCTCTACCTGAATGGGATTTTTACGTTGTACCTTACTCCTTGTATATATAAGAAGCTTTTTCTTGTCTGTGTTTTGATGATTTTTAGCAAGTTTTGAGTATGGCTTACAAGAAGAAAGTGCCAGTGATTGGTATCAGAAAGTCAGACAGATTCTTGCTTCATGGAACAAGTCTTGCTTCTGTTGAATGTTTGTCTTTGCCTCTTGTTAGTACTCTTTTTCATTTCTTTTTCCATTTTTTTTTTTAAATTTTTGTATTGTGTTTTATAATGTTGTTGACTTTGTTTTGGTGATGAACTGAAAGCAGGTTCAGGAAATTGTGCTCTCGGCAGATATCAGATGCAGCGAGTGTCAGAAGAGAATAGCGGAAATAATGTCAAGAATGAGTGGTGAGATTTCTATTATGCAGCTTTCAATGTATTACTTTTTTTTTCTTTTTTTTTTTGGTTCTCTTTACTAGCATAAAGATCATTTTAGGTATTTATAAGTTGCATTTTTTAATTTTGTGTTATGATCAATTTGTTTCCCTGAACCCCAGAAACTCAACTCTTAATACTGTTTTTGTCACTTTTCTTTTTCTTCTAGGAAGTTTTCTTTCTTGACCACACATTATTAGCAGATTCACATGCTCTGTGTCCTCCAAAAAAGGGGGGATAGGATTTTTTGTCCTCATCTGATTTTGCTTCTTTTAATTATAAAAATAAATTTACCACCTTACTACTGTGAGAAAAATTGGGTTCTTTTCTTTTCTTTTTTTTTTTTGTTTTGTTTTGGGGATTGGTGGTAATTTTTTTTTTCTTTTTAATTCAATGGGACGATCTGTATGTGTTTCTATAGACTTGTGGGTTTGATGGTGGACCTTTTTATTCCTTGTCCTAAGTTGTAACTCAGAATTTAGAGTTATGCAATTTCCTCTCGTTCATTATATATATAAATATATATAAATAAATATATATATATATATATTCAAGAACAAGTATGACATTTCAATTCACATATTTGGCCAGAGACAGAGTCTGTTGTGGTGAACGTGTTGGACAAGAAGGTTGCTCTTACTTGTAGATACCCCATTGTTGCCAAAGAACCAGCTCGCCAAGTCCCCGCCATACGCCGGAATCCTCTAAACAAAGTGGCACTTCTGAAACGGATTTTCAGGTCTCCTCAAAGTTGATTTCAGGTCGGAAAAAGACCCAAGAATATGTATTTCTGACTGCCCGACCAGCCATGTACATGAATTTGATTTCACATAATGAATTCAGAGAACATGTAGTTAGATGTTTGTCTACGGTGGCAATCAAATGAAATGAGATTTAAGAGAAGAAAAAGAAAAAAAAAAAAACAGAGAGAGAGAGAGAGTGAAGTTTGATATACTTGTGTTTGTGTCTCCCAGTAGCCACTTTATGTGTGTGTATTGTTGGATTCTTAATTTAACGTTGAGTTTGAGTTTATAGGTGAATAATTATATATTGTGAGCTATTATATAACGTTAAACTCAATTAAAAGTGATCTATTAAGGTTTGAGTATTTTAGATTTTAATGTATATAATAGGTTGTAGACCTTTAATATGTAGAGACTTAAGAGTAATTTTTATTTTTTTATGGGTTAAAATAAAAAATATCAAAAGATAACAGGAAAGTTATCTATATATAGCGGTTATGGTCCTTAGATTGCACGTTACATTCTATTCCTTCTGACATCTCATCATCAGAGAGAGTACAGAGAGAAAGTTAAAGGGTTTTTTAAGAAAACGTGTTGATCTAGAAGACAAACTGCACGAGTTTAGAGAGAAATCAATTAATATGGATTCAGGTACGTTTCTGTTTACAAATTTAGTAATTCTTGATGATCTAACATGAATGTTCTTAGTTTTTAGGTGATGATTTTCACCGTATCATTAATTTCTAACTAGTGATATCAAAGTCTCTTCATGTTAAATGATTGTTATTTTCGGCATACGAATTTTCGGCCATAAAAGATTTGCCAAATAAATTTTGGAATATATATATATAAATTCATATGTATATGGATTTCAGTCAAATAACCTTTGCAACATATATAAATTTATATATATTATGGATTCGGTGAATTTGATTCATAATGTTTGGAATTGTTTATTGTTTCGGGTTCAGTGTATATGTATATATATCGTTGTAATTGGATTTTTTATATATATTTCGTGTATATACATATATTAAAGATCATGTTTTAAGGAATTATGGATTTAGCCGGCAGCAAACTTTGCCGTCGCTGGAGTTGGCGACTTTTGGTTGCGGCCGTCAGGTCGTGCCGGAGTAGGACAGGAACCATGACGGCCGTTTGACTGCCTGGAAGGCCTGGGTTGCAATTTGTCATGACCCCTAGGGTTCTCTTTGGATATCCACGCCCAATTGGGCCCATGACTTGGGATAAACTACAGGCTAAGCCTGCAGCTACATATAAAAAAATATTTTGAAAACGCCTAGGAATGGGCCCGTGACCCACAAAAGGAATGAGATGGGGCTGGTTCAGGATCCGCACTAGGTTGACCCGACGTGGTCCAGCATTGACAAGTCAACGGTTGACCTTTGACCGTTGATTTTGACCAATTTTTTTGGGTCAATTTCGGTGTAATTTTAAATTCAAATACTAGTATGTTTATACATATTTTGAGATGAATTAATTAAAACAATATGTCGCCAAAGTGACCTATGTAACTTATGTGAATATTGATCGGCTCAAAAGAATGTTAATATTTAACAGAATTGCATGTACACCTGCGGTAATAAACGCGTGATGATTATTTGGTTTTACATGTGAACAATAAATCAGCCCAAAGGAAGATTTATTGTTTGGCGTGTTCTTATTATCAGTGTTTGATTACTACACCAATATATCACTTACAAATTAATATTTTGTTCAAAGATAAAATGTTAATGGAGTGCTTGGTAGCTTGAGATGAGATTTACCTTTATTTGAATTTTTTTTGTTTTGAGACTTATGTGAGCTTGTTTTGTTTGTTTGTTTGTTGTTCTCTATTTAGCTATGACTCCTGCTAATATTACTGCCAACATCAACTCTATTCCTATGCTAAATGGCTCTAACTTTAAGTCATGGCAAGAGAACCTCTTGATAGTTCTCGGAGTCATGGATCTCGACCTTGCGATAATGGTTGATTCTCATTCACCTCTTACGGATAAGAGTACCTCTAATAAAAAGAGGGGTATGGAAAGGTGGGAGAAATCAAATCGCATGTGTATGATGATCATGAAGAAGGCCATTCCGGAAGCATTCAGGGGCACAGTGTCTAATAAGATTACTACGGCTAAGGAGTTCCTTGTGGACATTGAAAAGAGGTTTGTCAAGAACGAAAAGGCTGAAATATGTACGCTCTTGACAAGTTTAATTTCAATGAGGTATAGGGGCAAAGGCAATATCAGGGAGTACATCCTAGAAATGTCTCATCTTACTTCAAAGTTGAAAGCACTTAAGCTTGAACTCTCTGAAGACTAGCTGGTGTATCTGGTTTTGATATCTCTCCCGGCACAGTTTAACCAGTTTAAGGTGAGCTATAATTGTCAGAAAGAGACTTGGTATCTGAATGAGCTCATATCACATTGCATTCAGGAAGAGGAAATGTTGAAGCAAGATAAGGCAGAAAGTGTTCACCTGGCCTTAATCTCTAAGGAGAAGGACAAGGGAAAGAAAAGGAAAAAGGAAGCTGTAGATACGACACCTCAAAAGAAACAACAAAAGAAATCGGTTGAACCGGAAGGTAGAGGTTGTTACTTCTGTGGAGTTGAATGGCATAAAAAGAAGCATTGCACCAACTATCACACATCGCGTGCTAAGAAAGGTATGCTTCTTAATTTGATTTGTTCTGAGGTTAATTTAACTTTGGTATCTAGACACACGTGGTGGATAGATTCTGGTGTAACAACTCACATCAGTGTGTCTATGCAGGGTTGCTTGAGTTGTCGAAAGCCAAGTGATGGTGAAAGATACATCTATGTGGGCGATGACAAGACGGTTCAAGTTGAAGCAATAAGAAAATTTAGATTATTATTAAAAATTAGATTTTATTTGGATCTTGATGAGACATTTATTGTACCGTCTTTTAAACATAATTTGATTTCTATTTCTACTTTGGACAAATCTGGTTATTCTTGTTCATTTAGGAATGGAAAATTTAATTTATTTCATGATTCAAAATTGTTGGTTCCGATTCTTTATCAGGTTATGATAATCTTTATTTAATTAATACAATTGCTTCATTTAATGAATCTCTGCAATTAAGGACACGATGTATAAAGAGAAAATTAACCAGTGAGAATTCAGCTGTGTTATGGCACAAGAGATTATGTCATATCTCCAGACGGAGAATAGAAATACTTGTGTCAGACGAAATTCTAGACTACTTAGATTTTATAGATTTTGATGTTTGTGTTAGCTATATAAAGGGGAAGCAAATCAATAAAAGGAGATTTGAAGCCAACATGACTTTGGACGTCTTAGATATACAAACGAACATTTGTGGGCCATTCCCTACGGTTGCTTGGAATGGTCAACAATATTTTATAACATTCATAGACAATTTTTCTAGATATGGCTACATATATCTCATTCATGAAAAGTCACAGTCGCTGGATGTGTTCAAAAATTATAAGGCTGAAGTTGAGAACCAACTCAGTAAAAGAATCAAAAGCGTCATATCTGACAGTGGTGGTGAGTACTATGGTAGATATGACGGTTCAGGTGAACAACGTTTGCTAAGTTCTTAGAGGAATGCGGTAGAGTCCCACAGTACACTATGCCAGGTTTGCCCATCATGAATGGTGTTGCTGAAAGATGAAACATGACGCTTAAGGATATGGTGAAGAGTATGATTTGTCATTCTACCTTACCATAATCACTCTGGGGAGAAGCACTTAAGACTGCATCATATATCCTTAATAGGGTTCTAGCTAAAGCGACTGCCAAAACCCTTTATGAACTTTGGACGGGCAAGAAGCCTAGTTTAAAGCACTTGCATGTTTGGGGATGTCCAGCTGAGGCAAGGCCTTATAGGCCTAATGAAAAGAAACTGGACTCAAGGATGGTGAGTTGCTATTTTATTGGATACTCCAAAAGATCCAAGGGATACAAGTTTTATGATCCCACGACTAAGTCGATTTTCGAGTCGGGAAATGCCCGGTTATTTGAGGATGTCGAGTTTGCGGGGGAAGATACAGTTATGGACTTTGTCTTCAAAGAGGAATATGTTGATATTCCCACAGGTGCTATTGGCATTGATCAGGATCTCATTCCTAACATTGTTCAAGACACAACAGATCAAGATAATGTCAGAGAACCTCCCATATAAGAAATTGTTCCAGAAGAACAAACTCTGACACCTCAAGAACCTATACCATTAAGGAGGTCCACTAGAGAAAGGAGAAGTGTGGTGCTAGATGACTACATCGTATTTCTCCAAGAATATGAGGTAGACATTTGAGTGATGGAAGATGATCTGATCAACCTCCATCAAGCCATGGAAAGTTCTAACTCTCAGAAGTGGATTGATGTCATGAATGAGGAGATTAAGTCCATGAATGACAATGACGTGTGGGATCTTGTCCCATTGCCAGAAGGTGTAAAACCCATTGGTTGTAAATGGATATTTAAGACCAAGAGGGATTCGAAAGGCGATGTAGGCGCGCCTTGTCGCAAAGGGCTTTACACAGAAAGAAGGCATCGACTATAAAGAGACATTCTCTCTGGTTTCTTCGAAAGACTCTTTCAGGATTATAATGGCATTGGTGGTGCATTTCAATCTTGAGTTACATCAGATCGATGTAAAGACAACGTTTCTTAATGAAAACATTGATGAGACAATCTATATGGTGTAACCAGAAAATTTTGTATCGGGAGACCCAAAGAATATGGTTTGCAAACTTAAGAAATCCATCTATGGGCTCAAACAAGCATCTCAACAATGGTATTTTAAGTTTCATCAAGTGATTATCTCGTTTAGTTTTGAGATGAATTTGGTCGATGATTGTATATACCATAAGTTTTGTGGAAGCAAGTATATTTTTCTGGTTTTATATGTCGATGACGTTTTGCTTACCAGCAACGATATAGGCTTATTGCACGAAACCAAGAGATTTCTAGCTAAGAATTTTAAGATGAAAGATCTTGGTGACGCCTCTTTTGTATTAGGCATACAAATACATCGAGATCGCTCTCGGGGAATTTTTAGATTATCACAAAAGAGCTATATCGAAAAGGTTTTCAAGAGATATGACATGCATGATTGCAAACTAAGTGATACCCCTGTGGCTAAGGGAGACAAGTTTACTCTCAATCAGTGCCCAAAAAATGATTTTGAGGAAAAGGAAATGCAAAAGATTTCTTATGCGTCAACAGTAGGAAGTCTAATATATGCTTAGGTTTGTATGCGTCCGGATATTGTGTACGTTACTGGGATGTTGGCCATGTATTTAAGTAATCCAGGAGTATATCATTAGAAAGCAGCCAAACGGGTCTTGCGGTACTTACAGAGAACAAAAGACTACATGCTCACGTATCGGAGGTCGGATCAGCTTGAGATCGTTGGGTATACTGACTCCAATTTTGCTGGATGCCAAGATAGACTTAGAAGATAGAATAAAATTGTGTCTAGAATGATTTTATTGAATGAATACAATGTCATCTTTACATGTAAGAGGAGGTACACGAGATTACACAAAAAAGGAAATAAATAAAATAAAATATTGACAGTTTACTATTCCCTATTCTACTGAGTTGACTTTCCATATTTACATTAGATACACATCCTAAAACTCTTCTAGGATCATGACTAAATCGGGATAAAATCCCTCTCTCTCTACCGACACTCCCCCTTAAGCTGGTTTGAAGATATCTACCATAGCCAGCTTGCCAACTAATTTATCAAACTACTTTCTATGTAGCCTCTTAGTTAACATAGCAGCGACTTGTTCTATCGTTAGAAGGTATGGCATGCATACTACTCTTGTGTCAAGCTTCTCCTTGATAAAATGCTTATCCACTTCTACATGTTTTGTTCGATCATGTAGAATTGGATTATGAGCTATAGATATAGCAGCCTTGTTATCACAGTAACTTTTATAGGTAACAAATGAGAAATCTTCAATGCTTCAAGTATTCTCTTGATCTATATTCCCTCACAAATTCCAAGGGCAACAGCTCTGAATTCTGCCTCTGCATTGCTCCTAGCCACCACATTTTGTTTTTTGCTTCGCCAAGTAACTAGATTTCCTCCAACAAAGGAACGGTAGCCCGAAGTAGATCTTTTATCTGTAATACTTCCGGCCCAGTCTGCATCAGTATAGACTTCAATCTATAGATGGTCGTGTTTCTTGAATAGTATGCCTTTCCCTGGAGTTCCTTTTAAATATCTCATAATCCTGTAGACCGCTTCAAAGTGCTCTGGTCCTGGTGAATGCATAAACTAACTTACCATGCTTACTGCAAAGACAATATCAGGACGTGTATGTGATAAGTATATCATTCTACCTACAAGTCTCTGATATCATTCCTTGTTGTTAACCTCTTCAGTTTTGGCGGCTTGTAACTTCACATTAGGCTCAATGGGAGTCTTGGCCACCCTATAGTCGAGGAGACCTATTTCTTTGAGTAGATCAAGCACATACTTCTTCTGGTTGACAAAGATACCTTCTTTGGATCTAGCAAACTCCATACTAAGAAAGTATTTTAACCTTCCCAAGTCCTTGACTTGAAAATCTTCTGCAAGTCTTTTCTTCAGAATGCCTAACTATGTTTCATCATTATCCGTTAGGATGATATCATCAACATAAACAATCAAAATTGTAACTTTACCCATTTTTGAGTGTTTATAAAATATAGAAGCCATAACTAGTAACCGTTTTCCCAAAGCGTTCAAACAACGCTCTTGGTGATTGTTTAAGTCCATACAAGGACTTCTTCAGTTTGCATACTTTGTCACTTCTAAGCTTCCTTTCGAATCCTGGCGATAAACTCATGAACACTTCCTCTTCAATATCGCCATTAAGGAAAGCATTCTTCATGTCAAGTTGATGTAGAGGCCAATCAAAGTTCACTGCAAGGGACAATAAAACTCTAATCGAGTTTATTTTAGCAACATGAGCAAAAGTGTCCTGGTAATCTATCCCATAAGTCTGAGTGAAGCCTTTAGCAACCAATCTGGCCTTGTACCTCTCAACACGTCCATCCGCATTACACTTTATAGTAAACACCTATTTACAACCTACTGTTTTCTTATCTTTAGGCAGATGAACTTTTTCCCAAGTACCATTTCGCCTTAGAGCATTCATCTCCTCCATGACTGCTAACTTCCAATCTGGATCATTCAATGCTTCCTGTATATTCCTTGGAACAAACAAGTGTGAAATCCTAGATATGAAAGCTTTATGGTTTCTTGACAGTTTTTGGTAAGAGAGGTATTTGGCAATAGGGTGTTTAGTGCAACTTCTGACACCCTTCCTAATAGCTATGGGAACATCAAAATCATGAATAATCGGTAAGTTATTAGGAATATTTGAGGGAACAATAGGTGTCAGATGAAGGAATTAGACTAGAAGTTGGAGAATAGTACTTGAACTTGGGTTTTCAGATTGAGTCTGTGCTAGATTGATAGTCACATCTTTGCTCCTTTGATAAAATCTCTTCCTAGTATAAACCTGAAGCTCAGAATTCTGATCATGTTGATCGTTTTGTAGTAATTCTCCCCCTTGTCTGAGAATCCTCTTCACTAGGCACCAAAGATCTTAGTTCTCCTAAGTGATCATTATTAGTAACATGTTGATCCTGTGTAGAATGAATTATTCTAGGAAGAGGTTTAGAGATATCCCAAACAAATTGTCTTCCATTTCATGTGTCTCCCCCTGAAGAGAATTTTGGGGAAAATAAGGTTGTTTTTCAAGAAAAGAAACATCCATACTCACATGGAATTTTTTGTTTTAAGGTCATAACACTTGTAACCCTTTTTGTTTGAAGAATAGCCTAAAAAACACACTTTACAGCCCGTGGATCAAGTTTTGAATGAAATTGACTAGGTATATGGACATAGACAGTACACCCAAAAACTTTAACAGGTAAATCTGAGTACAACCGAGTTTGTGGAAAGGCTGTCTTCAAGCACTCAATGGGTGTTTTGTATTTTAACACTTTAGTGGGCATCCTATTTATTAAATATGAGGCTATCAAAACTGCCTCACCCCACAAATATTTCGGGACATGCATAGAAAACATTGTGGCTTATTCTACTTCAAGTAGATGTTTGTTTTTTCATTTTACAATGCCATTTTGTTGTGGAGTATCTCGACAAGTGGATTGGTGGTGAATACCTTTTTCTTTCAAAAAATCACCCAATTGTTCATTAAAATATTATGTTCCATTATCAGAATGTAAAATTGGTTTGAAACTGGGTTTCAATCATTGTGTAAAAATTTTTAAACAAATTTTTTACTTCATATTTTTTACTCATCAAGTATACCCAACATAACCGTGTGTGGTCATCAATAAACGTGACAACCCACCTTTTTTTCGAAAGAGTAATAACTTTAGTCCAAACATCACTGTGAATTAGATAAAAAGGCTTTGAAGTTTGATAAGATTTTGGTACATATGCAGACCGATGATTTTTTGCTGAAATGCAACTTTCACACTGAAAAGAGGAACAATCAATTCCTTTAAATAACTTAGGAAACAAATGTTTCAAATAAAAAAAACTAGGGTGTCCTAGTCTAAGATGCCATAGCATGATTTGTTCTCGAACAAAAATTGAACTAATACTACTAAAGCTCTGAGCTTTTTTATTACTCGTAGATACTTCACCAAAGTAGTAAAGACCTTCAATCATCCTAGCACGACCAATCATCATCCCCGAGTTCTGGTCCTGAAATTCACAATGTGATTGAAAGAAGCTGATATGACAATTAGAATCTTTGGATAGTTTACTAACTGACAGAAGATTGCAGGCTAGTTTAGGAACATGAAGAACAGAATTGAGATTCATTTTCTCAGTCAATTTAACGAGCCTTTTTCCTGCAATAGGTGAAAAACTACCATCGACAATTCTAATTTTTTCATTGCCAGAACAAGGGAAATATGTGTTAAATAGGTGAGAAAAACAAGCCATATGGTCAGAAGCTCCGGAATCTATGATCCACGGAGAAGAATTTAAACAAGAGAGGGTTGTAGCCTTTCTACCTGTTTGTGCCAAGGAAACACTAGGAATACTGGATGAGAAATTGGACTTTATCAGTGTCAAAGGTTGATCGATTTGCTCCTTGTTGAAAGGACCCGAGTTTTGCTCCTTGTTGGAGGAGCCCGAGTTGGCTTCATTTGCTGTGGGAAAACTTGGAGGACCATGGTTGTTCTTTTCCCCTGTATTGCTGTTTTTTCAATTTTTTGGTTTGCCATGAATCCTGCAACACGTCTCACGAGTGTGATGTGGCTTTTTGCAAAAGTCACACCAAAGTCGGGACTTCTCATCATCCCTGCGCTGATAGTTTTCGACCTTATAGGCAGCAGCATCAGTAATTAAAGCAGAATTTTCAATGGACTCACCGGCACCCTTTTTTCCAAGCATAACACTCCTTTGGCTTTCTTCCCTTCTAACTTTGGAAAAACCTTCACCAATGGATGGGAGAGGACGCCTTCCAATAATTCTTCCATGCACTTCATTGAACTCAATGTTGAGGCCAGCAAGAAACTTGTAAATCCGGTTATCCTCTACAGTTTTCTTATGGTGATTGCAATCATTAATAGATTTCCAGTCATAGGTATTGAAGAGATCAAGGTCTTGCCACAATCTTTTCAAGGAATTGAAATATTTGGTGACAGAATCTTCCCCTTGCCGAATCTCTCCCAATTTCAGAGTTATCTCAAAAACCTGAGATTGATTTCTCAGGTCAGAGTACATCTGACTAATATTATCCCATAATTCTTTTGTTGTGGGATAGCACATGTAATTAGAGCTAATATCCTCATCCATGGAATTGACCAACCATGTCATAACCATGAAATTTTTCGCGTCCCAAGTAGCATATGATTGATCATCAACTGGAGGCACCTTCTTGTCCCCTATGATGTAGCCGATTTTCCTTGCCCCCGAATGTACATCCGTACAGATTTAGACCAACGGAGAAAATTGTCGCCATTCAGACGAATAGTGGTGATCTGGACCGAATGAGTGTTGGGATGGGTGGAATGGTTTGGTTGAGTTTCTGGGGTTTTCTTTGGTGCAGCAGTAGCAGGGCTTGTGGTAGCTTTCGATGTGACCTCAGACATGGCTACGTTTGGACGGAGGGAAGGAAAGGTTTTTTAGGGTTCTGGACACGTTGAAGAGTGAGTGTCTCTAATACCAACTTAGAAGATAGAATAAAATTGTGTCTAGAATGATTTTATTGAATGAATACAATGCCCTCTTTATAGGTAAGATGAGGTACATGGGATTACACAAAAGAAGGAAAGGAATAAAATAAAATATTGACAGTTTCCTATTCCCTATTCTACTTAGTTGACTTTCCATATTTACATTAGATACACATCCTAATACTCTTCTAGGATCATGACAAAATCTGGATAAAATCCCTAATTGACGCTCTCTGCCGACAGATAGTATGAAATCTACATCGGGCTATATCTACCTGCTAGTTGGAGGTGCTGTCTCCTAGAAGAGTGCTAAACAGTCTCTTATAGCCTCTTCTACCATGGCGGCAGAGTTTATAGCATGTTATGAGGCATCCAATCACAGAATATGGATGCGGAATTTTGTCACGGGGCTGCATATAGTGGATGGCATTGAAAGGCCACTCAAGTTATTTTATGACAATAAGTCAGCAGTGTTGTATTCGAACAATAACATGAGCTTGACGAAGTTGAAGCATATAGACATCAAGTTCCTAGCAGTGAAGGAAAGAGTTCAGAGTGGACAATTGTCTATAGAGCACATCGGTACAAACTCCATGGTTGCGGATCCGCTTACTAAGGGATTGCGACCCAAAGTGTTTCATGAGCACACTGCTCGTATAAGTGTCATGTCATTAGAGGATATTCAGTTTTAGTGAGAGTTTGTAATTTTAGATGCTTTTATGATATAGACATATTTTCAGTTATTTTAGTTTATGGATATTTTGAGCTTATTTTCTGCAGAAATAAAGTTTTGGTTTATTCACACTCTGATTTTGGTATGGTTTGATCTCACTAAGGTTTAAGGTGGACCGGTTGGAAATAGACATGTTAAGATCACATTACATGAAATTTTCATGCTACACATCCACATCATGATCCATATCATTCAGTTGTATTGGCATATGTGACCATTAATGGGTCGAGTTATGACAGTTGTAATGAAGGCTGCTTTGATCCTATGTTGGTATGATTGATGGACCAGATTTGTTACAGATACATTTCGGTAATGACAGCAAAGTTGAGCTCATACGGTTATTTTTGCAAAGCATAATTATAAGGTTACACATATAGCCCAAGTGAGAGATTGTTAGATCCTTAATCCAACGTTGGGCTTATATGTGAATAATTATGTGTTGCGAGCTGTCATATAAGGTTAAGCCCAATTAAAAGTGATCTACTAAGATTTGGATATTTTGGGCTTTAATGTATCTAATAGGGTGTGGGCCTTTAATGTGTAGAGACTTATGGGTAATTTCTATTTTTATGATGGGCTAAAATAGAAATATCAAAAGATAACAGGGAAGTTATCTTTATATAGCGGTTATGGTCATCAGATCGCACGTTACATTCTATTCCTTCTGACATCTCATCATCAGAGATAGTATAGAGAGAAAGTTAAAAGGTTCTCTAAGAAAACGTGTTGATCTAGAAGACAAACTGCACGAGTCTAGAGAGAAATCAGTCAATATGGATTCAGGTACGCTTCCGCTTACAGATTTATTAATTATTGATGATCTAACATGAATGTAATGATTTCACCAAATCATTGATTTCTAACATGTATATGTGTATATATTTGTGCGTGCGTATTTTTTGTACAAAATATAGGGAGAGAGGGACACTGCAACTTCAACAAGACTATAGACAACTTTTGTCTCAAGGTAGTCTTGAAGATTTGGTGAATAGAAATTTTTAGGAAGAAAGTATGTGTTTCTGTCAAAATCTATGATGAGCTACAAGCCTACAACTCAAAACGTTTTGTCTCTTCTAATACTTAGGGACAAAGTTTTGTCTCGGAATATACTTTTTTCTTACTGTTACCAAAAAAATTGTCTCTAAAGACTAAAGATGAGGTTTGAAATGTAAAATATTCTTCCTAAAAATTGATCTCTAAAACCATACTTTTTTTTTGGGGGGGTAAGGAGGGATGCCTTAAATCTTCCATAATGTATAGAAAGCCTTCGTGGAGAAGAAAGAGATGTTTCATGATCTTACACGAGGCAATGAAAACCGTGTTTTGTAGAAGTTGATATTTGATCTATATATATATATATATATATATATATGCGTGCTTCTTTCTCCTTGCCATGATGTAACGAAACAATAGAAAGTTTACCATTCAAGTTAAGGATTATAAGCTACGCCACATGAAAACATAAACAACAATAACAACAACCTCTTCCATTGGTCTACGTTAAGCAGCATCAGATTCCAAAATGAAGAGGAACAATTTCCACAAGCACAATCCAAAAGCAGAAAAGTTGTGCGTGTGTGTGTGTATATATATATATATATTGTTAGAAATCCATAAACCCCTTTCTGCATATCTTTTTTGCAGCCACCAAATCAAAAAGATAAAAACCAATCATTGATCTATCAACTGCAAATCCATGTCAGGAAAGGCAAGTTGTGGCAAACATCTTATTCCTTTTATCATTATTTTCACTACAATCAAATGGCATAAAGATTGTTTTTTTTTTATTATTTTATTTCCAAGAAAACAAAAGATTCTAATTAGGACCATCTTTCTTTTTTTTTGTTTTTTTTTTTGTTTTTTTGTCTCCAAACATTGCAGTATTGTTGCATGGTGATGAGGCTGAATATTGACTGCAACGCGTGTTGCAGAAAAGTAAGAAGATTTCTTCTAAACATGAAAGGTAAGGCTTCTACAAAAGCAGAAGTTTTGGACCAATTAACAAACTCTTAGCCCCAGATTAATTGTTTTTCTTTTCTGTTCTTTCTTTATTCATTTGATGTGTTGAAGAAATAGAGACACATATGATTGATAAGGACCAGTACATGGTAAGCGTGTGTGGAAGATTTATGCCAGCAGATATCGCGATAAAATTGCGGAAGAAGATGAACCGAAGAGTCGAGATTCTGGAAATCCAAGAGTTTGAGCGCGCTAACGAAGAGACGGAACAAAGGCCAATGGTGACTGCCTAATTGTCCACATGTAGCGTCACCAAATTTGTGCCCAAGCCTGACTACTTCAGGCCTCTTGGAACTTGTTAATGTTTAAGTAATAGACTCTGGAGGAATGAAAATTCAACTTTCATTTTCTTTTATTTTTTTTTTCTTCTTCTGTTTTTTGGTTAGAGTGAAGTTATAGAGCAATGTAAACTGTATAGATTTTAAGTTAGAACATGTGTAGCAATATCATGTATATGTGTTGGAATACATACACTTCGGCATGTAATGTTTATATGACCGCTTTATTTATCTGGTTTGTCAACTTACTCTCAAACTGTTCGTCTTTTTTGGAGAATAAATTCTTAAGCATAATTTGTCATTATCCTTCTATGCTTCAATGACTATTTTTTTTTTTCCTTCTAAACTTGGAGATGAGAGATCTGAACATTAAATCACAGCATAGGTGTGTATTTATGTTACAAAACCATCAAGTAGGACTCACCCTTGTAAAACCTGTTTGCAAGGGGAGGGAATCCAAAGACGTATAAACCTACTATTTGTCGTATAATGATTCCATGTGAGACTTTTAATGACACATTCAATGACTTGTGCAAGGGACGTTGGTAACATGTTGTCCTTTAACTTTTGATTATACTCTCAAGAGGCATAACTTAACAAATTTGGACACATTTACTATAGTAACACTATGTCAATAGAATGATAATGTTATACGACCTGTTTTTCCTTTGGTTTGCTCACTCGGAAAGGTAAGCTCCTCTTCGTGGAGAATGGATTTGGATCTTTGACCTTGGATTTATATTTTATTATCATAATTCAATAAATTTGAGTATTTGAGACACTATTTGTGAATTAAAAGAACAATTTTCTCACTAGAACGAAGAGCGGTACGCTCGATCATTCGAATCCGCTCAATGGACCGGGACGCGGTATGCTGATCTTTTTGGTCCGCTCAGCAGACTGGCTCGCGATATGCTTGGTTTTCTCAATAAGAAAGATGTCATGTTGTGTAGAAATTCAATTTTATTTTAAATTTTACTAATCCTAATTTTAGAAAATTAGCAAAATTCATATTTTCTATAAGCAACCATCGATATTATTGTATTACAACAACTACAACTTCTATCATTGTAACACAACAACTTTTATTATTGTAACACAAGGACTTCTATTGTTTTTTTTGTTTTTTTGTTTTTTACATTTATATTTAACGATCTCATTTAAAAATAAATAAATTAAGCTTTAAATTTGTGTTGCTTACCATAACTTCACAAATTTAGTTGACCAAAATAATATTAGGACGCATTTACTTCCTGTTGCTTTGATCCTCTTCAAGCGGGATATCTATATTTTAAAGTTTTTCTTTTACATCATTCACCGAGATCTTACTTTTTTTCGAAAAAGTATTTTTTTCTGAAATCCTTCACCGCCTATTTGTTTATGATTTGGATTTTGGAGGATAAGAAGAGCAATTGAGGCCACTTATGAGCGTTTGTTCAGTGAGAGACTATAGTCTCTTTCATTTCACCGATTCGAGTTTTTAATTTTAGGTTTCTACAGTAAAAAGCTCTCAGAAAATGTCACATCTAACTTTTTCTGCTACAGTGAAAAACTCTTAAAAAATATCACATCTCAGTTCGAATTGAAAACTCGAATCCGCAAAGTGAACGAGGCCTATATTAAGGTACGCCTTTCGAAACGAACCACATTTCGTTGTTCTTTACGGTTTCTACCGAACGACACAGTAACATCCACATCGGCATTAAACTAATCTCCACATGTTGGGGAACCGTGATCAAGTGACCAAATTGTGACTCCTTAAACCATTGAATTCCATACGGTGATCACTTAGGGGGCGTTTGGTACACAGTAATCAATGTGAATCATATTCTTAAGAAAGTGATGAGGGGTAATATGATTCTCAGAAATTATACATTAGTTCCATACATGAATCTTGTCTCAAATTCTCAGAAATAATACATTATTGTGTTTGATTGTGCATGAAAATGTTGTCTATTAAAAAAACATATTTTTTAAAATAAATTGCAATTAACACTCATGTATCTTAATAACATAATATTATATTTTTTAAAATATTTAGCCCATAATATTAGCACTAATATTTTAAAAAGTATAAAATAAAATTATATTTTATAAATATTTACCCTCAAAACACAACAAGTAATCCATAAATTATTAAATAATAGGGGTCTCAAAATGTTAGCTAAAATCCTCTATACTCAAAAGTTCTTACAAAAGTTCTAAACATGAGACCATATATTCCAATAAAGTTCCAAACCTATCATCAAAAGTTGTAAATATAGGACCACATATAAAGGTTCTAAACATGCCATCAAAAGATCTAAATATTAGACCATATACTAAAGTTTGTAAATATAACACCAAAAGCTTCAACCCAACTCATTCCAAAAGAGATAGAAGGAAATCTAACGTAAATTCCTCATCCAACGTGAAGAAATACTTAGTGTTGTCATGGTTTTGGGCGCAAAGTTTTCCAACTCGTACTCATTGTGCACTTGTTAGTCCTTCTACCTTCTTCACTTCAACAAACACATTCATCCTCCTTGCAGCACTATCAACCTCCTTGCAGCACTATCAACCTCGTATTGAAAGCAATTAGCAAGCCTACCAATATTCTCACCAGCCATAGCATACATATTAGAAAACTTTTTTACTGTCTCAGTTAAAGCATCAACCAATACATCTCCATTTTGAGATCTCTTTCTCTTTTTTCTTCCTGATGTAAATGGTGTTGAAGTTAATTGTGTGCTAGGACCACCAATACTTGTAGTATCCATGTGCTCATCAGACATAAGCAAGGGATCATAATCAAGATCATTTTTTTATTTTTTTATCAATATCATCAACCATATCATGCAATCTCATTTGCACCTTGTCCATTAGCACGATCCTTTCTAAACACAAGTGCTAACTCATCATAATAAGAAAACAGCTTGTTTCTTAAGCCTTTTGCAGTTAGGTGACTCTGTAATAGATATGGAAGGTAAGTTAAACAATAAAAGAGCCTAATATATTGAAACTTGAAATTTATAACCAGTTAAAAAAATACTAACCTTAACCCACTCATCAAACACATTTTTCTCAACCATAACGCATTTATCCGTATCATTCCAACCAAAGCCACTGCCCAACATTTCAGAAATGGCATGATATTGTGTCTTCAATATCTTTACACGAGAATCAATGTGGGGTTGTGCTTTAAGCCCACATTGCGGAATCTTTTCATTCATCATTTTCTCCAATTGTTGCAAGTAACCGGGCTTGAAAGTACAATTATCCGCTTTCTATTTTTCACTATTAGCCATATCCAACAAGCACTTCACTAGCTTTGAATCTTCCAATGCAGTCCATTGATGCTTCTTTCCATTGGCATCCATTCTGTGTACAAATTATAAACTTTAATATGAAAACAAAACTAACAATACTAGACAAAACAAATCAACACATCAATATATCTTTATTAAGAATCATAACAACAATGTCACACATTTATTAAGAGTCACAACAACCATGGCATACATATTTATTAAGGATCAAAACAAAAATCCAAGTACAACAATAATCCATATCAATGGCAATTTCCCCGCCATTGGTCAAACATTTCCCTAGCCAAATTATTTCTCCATACAGTCCAAGCATTGGATGTTTCAATATGTGTGTAATGCTCTATTTCGTCTTCATCATCATCCTCCTATTCTTCTTCTTCTTTTTCCCTCCTAATTAAGTTGTAAAGAAGACAACATGCCGCAATAATCCTACATTGTGCATTGATAAAATAGAATGATTTTTCCCTAAGAATTGACCATTGCCCCGTCAAAAGTCTAAATGTCCTCTCAATAACGTTCCTAGTGAAGGAATGTTTCATGTTAAAAAACTCTTCAGGAGTCTCAGGTGGGTATATCCATTTATTTAAATGGTAGCGTTGTCCTCTATAAGGAACCAAAAAGCCTTCACCGTTAGGTTAACCAGCATCGTATAGGTAGTAATATCATGTAAATCATTTCGATATATATTAGAAAATATTAAAATGCATACACATTTGAATGTGTATGACTCTAACTGTCAAGAAGATACATATTTACCATGTGGAACTTTCAATCCATTCCTCCTAGATAAAGCATCTCACAAAACTCTTGAGTCAGATGCGAAACCCTCCCATCCGGGCAATACATAAATAATTTGCATATCTTGAGAGCATACTCCTAACATGTTGGTAGCAATTTCACCCTTTCTAGAATGGTACCTAGGCGTGTCCGCTGCAGACACATTGACCTTGATGTATGTTCCATCAAGTGCTCCCAAACAGTTCTAAAATACAAATATTAATTTAAGCCTACATACCTACTGCATATTAACATACAAATAATAAAAAATTAATTGATATTTAAAATTTTCACCTTAAACCATTTCCATCTTTCATCCGTAGAATTTTCTGGAATTGGCTCTGGCCTTTTTCGTAATATTTCATGGAGGAGTAACACCGCTTTTAAGACAATATTGAATTGTCTACTTATTGTTTCACCCGAGCGTGCAAATAGACGTTTCATACAACAACAACAACAACAACAACAACAAACCTTAATCCCAACTTAATTGGGGTCGGCTATATGGATTTCACTTTTCCACACAGCTCTGTTCAAAATTAAACTTTCCTGAAGGCCTAGATCTAGAATGTCTTTCCTAACGACTTCGGTCCATGTAATTCTTGGTCTACTTCTCCCTCTCATAGTATTAGGTATAAGAATGTCCTTCCAAGCACGAACTGGTGCTTCTAGCGGTCTACGTTGGACATGCCTGAACCACCTCAAGCGGCCTTCGCACACCTTATCTTCTATTGGTGCTACACCTACTTTACTACAAATAACTTCATTCCTTATGCGATCCATTCTCGTATGACCACTCATCCATCTTAACATACGCATTTCTGCCACACTCATCTTAGATATATGTTGTCTCTTAATGGCCCAACATTCACTGCCATATAACACAGCTGGGCGGATTACAGTCCTATAGAACTTTCCTTTCAACTTAATAGGCATCTTGCCATCACATAAAACTCCCACAGTATT